CTCTCTCTCTCACTGTCCACTCTGCCTGTCAAAAAATAAAAAAAATAAAAATAAATAAAAAAATAAAAAAAAAGATTTATTTATTTGAAAGTCAGAGTTACACAGAGAGAGGAGAGGCAGAAAGAGAAAGGTCTTCCGTCTGCTGGTTCACTCCCCTAGATGACTGCAACAGCTGGAGCTGCGCCGATCCAAAGCCAGGAGCCAGGAGCTTCTTCTGGGTCTCCCACATGGGTACAGGGCCCCAAGGACTTGGGCCATCCTCTACTGCTTTCCCAGGCCATAGCAGAGAACTGGATTGGAAGTGGAGCAGCTGGATCTTGAACTAGCACCCACATGGGATGCTGGCACTCCAGACTAGGGAGTTAACCCGCTATGCCACAACACCAGCCCCTCAAGGCAACTTTTTAAAGCAGGAAAGCAAGAATCCCAACTGTAGACAGTGCAGGAAAAAAACATTGCCAAGAAAATTGGGCAAAATGCATAAATAAGAGGTTTTCAACATTTTGGATCCACTAATCACTATTATAAAGTTCCAATTATAAATAATCAAAGAGGAAGTTATATTTCTAGACTTTTTCAAAAAAAATAAAAATAAAAAAAGTTCTTATCTACAGAGTTTTAGGATTGAGAAAAATACTACTGAGACTGTCTTATTGCCATGGCTGTAAGTCACAAACAAGAAAAATGTCCCATTAATGGCTGATAATGTGCAAAATTATCGAGGACATTTTATACCATTATGATTTCTACAAAATACATTGATAATGATAAAAAAAAATTGGCATGTACAGTAGACCAGGAGAGGCAAGTCATATTTCTGAGTAGATATAGAGACTGAAACAGACTCCATTTTTAGTGCCAGTGATGAAACACTGTCTGAGCCAGTTCTGTGCTAATGCACCTGGGAGGTCAGCAGAGGACAGCTCAAATGTCTGGGCCCCTGCACCTGTGTGGGAGGCCTGGATAGAGTTCTAGGCTCCTGACTTTGGTGAGTGAACCAGGAGATGGAGACCTCTCTTTTTCTGTCATCATCTCTTTCTGTAACTCTTTCAAATAAATCTTTAAAAAAAAAAAAAAAAAGTAAATAGATCCAAATCTGTGATCCAACTATTATTGTATGACTTGACAACTATGGATTTGGGGGAGATACCCCCTAAAGCAAATCAAATAAAAGCAAAAGATTAAACAAAAGTTTCCTGCCAGTTAGACTGAAGATAAGATTTTTGAAATGAATACCATGTTATTATGGAAGTATGCATAAGGACAGACTTCAGGTGCCTTAGGAACATGCAAAAGCTATGTGTGTAGTGAATTCACTACATAGTGTAGTCAATATGTAGTCATGCTTCTGTCTGTGCAATACATATCCAATTAAAATATTGCCTAGGGGCCGCATTGTGGCTTAGCAGGTAAAGCCAACGCCCGCAATGCCAGCATCCCATATTCCACAGCCTGGGACAGAACAAGGACATAAGCTTCAGCCATTCTAGTTTTCTTGTTACCCCTGCCCCTTCTTTCAAGAGATCAGTTCTGTCTCACATCCTATAGTGTTCCCCACCCCACCTCCTGCATTCTTCCCCAGGTTTGGAAGCCAGTAGGCCAAACCTAAAGAACCAGGATAGAGAAGCTCATCTCTGACTACTGTCCCCCAACCCCACCCCTCTCCCACCTAAGATATAAAAGGGCCCAGGCTTCTGGGGTCAGGGCCTCTGCCACATGTTCAGTCTGTGAGCATGATGGCAGTTGGTTGACCTCTGCAGATTTATTTTCTCTGAAAAAATTCAGTCTGGCTGTGAGCTCATATTCTGTCTCCTCTCTGTTCTGCACTCTTTTTCTTATAGCCCATGATACTGGAATCTCATATGGGCAGCAGTCTGAGTCCTGGCTGCTCCACTTCTGATCCAGCTCCCTGCTGATATGTCTGGGAAAAGAGCTGAGGACTGCCCAAGCACTTGGGCCCCTTCCGCCCACCTGGGAGACCTGGATGAAGCTCCTGGCTCCAACCTGGCCCAGCTCTGGCCATTGTGGCTATTTGGGGAATAAATCAGTATATGGAAGATTTCCCTTCCTTTCTATAACTCTACCTTTCAAATAAAAAAAATTTTTTAAATGATAAATAATCACCAGCAAACAATAGGTTTTTTGTTTTGTTTTGTTTTGTTTTTTTGTAATCATGTCTTTATTTATTTGAAAATCAGAGTTACAGAGAGGGAGAGATAGAGAGATCTTCCTTTTGCTGGTTCACTCCCCAAATGGCTGCAATGGCTGGGGCTGGGCCAGGCTGAAGCCAAGAGCTTCTTTGGGTCTCCCAGATGGTGGCAGGAGACCAAGCTCTTGGGCCATCTTCCACTGCTTTCCGTAGGCCATTAGCAGAATGCTGGATCTGAAGTGGAGAAGCCAGGACTTGAAACGGCACCCATATGAGATTCCAGCGTCACGAGCGATGGCTTTACCCATTGTGCCACAATGCTGGCCCCATTAGAGTATTTCTAATCAGAAAAGCACAGGGCAAGTGATTATGATGCAACACTATTGGGTTGGAATGTTTGAATTTTGCTACTTATTTTAGTCAAAGGCCTTAATATGAAGCTGTCAATGAGAAGGATGAATTCCAAAACATGTCTCTTTGCCATCAACTGTAAACTTAGAAATAGTGATGTAGTATGCACTCCAGGATGTCAGACAGAGGACAGCTACATATCAAAATCCCTAATACTTTTCTTTTCCCCTCTCTGCTTTTCCAGATCCTTCCCCCCTGCTATGAGAAAAGGGAGTTAAAATGTAGTTGTCTGTGTCTCTGAGAATATTATCATTTTAACCTTTATTTATCTTCCGATAAACTATCACTCTAATACAGAAATAAAATGATACAAGGGATACTGCTTACCTACCCTGAAAGAGTCTGGATCAACTACTATAGAGGTTATAAAGAAAACTCGGTTTCTGATCTCAAAGAACTTTACAGTGTGATAATAACAGCAACACTAATACGGGTATTTACTTTTCTCTTTCCACTTTTGGAAGAATTTTCACATGCAAGATCTCACTTGATTTTTAAAGCATCTTCATGATGAAGTTAGGGCAGATACTAATTTTTTCTAACTTTACAGATGAGATGGAGATAAAACATGCATCATATTTAAATTAGAAAAACTTTCATACTCTTTAACCATAAATAGATAAATGTTATATAATTGGGGGTGTGTGTATTCTGCCCCCTGATCTCTTCCCAGTACCTTGGCTTAAGAAAATATCTATCCCATTGATCTGCCACAGCGCTACAAATTCCTTTGAGAAATTCCATTCTCGTGGCCTGAGCTGTAGTACACCCGGTTAAGGCCCTGACCTAAAGCGTCGGCATCCCACATGAACGCCGGTTCTAGTCCCAGCTGTTCTTCTTCCAATGGCCCAAATCCTTGGGTCCCTGCACTGGCGTGGGAGACCTGGAAGAGGCTCCTGGCTCCTGGCTTTGGATTGGCGCAGCTCCGGCTGTGTTCTTCTCTCTGTCTACCTCTCTCTATAACTCTGACTTTCAAATAAATAAAATAAATTAAAAAAAAAAAAAAGAAATTCCATTTTCTGGGTGTATTCAGGAGTTTCCATTAGGACAGAGTTAAAGAGAAATGGAGAACACATTGTTCAACACTAACAATTTACAAGAGATCACCTTTGTTCATCCCAGAACAAAATGGGAAAAGTTTTAGTACCATGGAAGAGCGGAAAAACAGACCATACTTAAGCTCTGACCAGAGCAGCCTGAGGGGCCCTGAAAAATTGGTTTGGATAGAGGTGGAGTGGATATTGCAAGAGGAGACAAATGGACTAGCCTCACAGTTTCATTTCCAACTAATACCCGATCCCCGGGCTCAGGTTCAGTTTTCAATAGGCCTCTGCTATAAATTCAAACTCTAAGAGCACACACCACCAAGACAACCCTGAACAGTCCCTTATAAAACAAATCAGCCTGCATTTACCTCCCCTACCAGCTACCACTCTCATTCTTAGAATTAAAAAAATGCTAATTCTAAATCCCTTTACTCTTTCTGCTTTTTTGTTTTCTACTCTTTCTCCTCTCCATTCACTTACCTAGGCTGCATCTTACACCTGCTGTTCCTTTTTCAATATTACTTTCTCAATTCCTTTCTGACACATTTGCCACAAATTGAAGGTTGTGTCCTCATTTAAAAAGTTCAACTGCAATGTGTTACCACACTTTAATCAAACTTCAGGACTAAGCTCTTCAGCATTTCTTTACCCACTATCTCTATTCAATTCTTCTCACAGTATTGACACAAAGGCCATAGACATTTCATGGCCTAGAACAGAGCCAGGCACATAGGTGTCCAAAAAATTTTTTTCAATGAATCTTAAAGTTGTTAGAATGTTCCGTTTGTAAAACTCTGAAAATTCTTCCTAAAATTGAACAAGCTCATAAATTCAACAGTCTACAATTATAATTCCTAGGATATTTTTCAGATTCTAGAAGAAAAACTGCAGTAGAAAATCCTAAAAAATAAACACAAAGCATGAAAAGCATCTGCAGCTTTATGAAATTTGCAATGCTTTGTCTCCTTTAATTTATTCACACTCGTCTTTCAGGACACAGGTAGTAAAAGCAGCTTGCATTGCACCCCAGAATTAAGAATCAGCATCATTAAGATTTTTCCTGGTTTAGGAGACTGCTTACCTTGGAAAAAGGAAAAATTGCCATTTCTCCCAATTTGGGGACTGTGGAAACATGAGAAATCCCATTTTATGGTAAAGAATTTTTAATTCTGTTAATTCATGGGGCATCTTAAGAGGATTTTGGGCCAGTACTATAGCAAGAGATGTGGCAAGGTATACAAATGGAGCAAGTACAAGTCCTTGCCTCCAAGGAGCTTACAATGCAAATAGAGAGAAGCAGGCTCAGAACTCGGGACAAAAGCTGTGACTGCATAATAATGTACTGCTGGCGGTGGGGGAGGGGGACCTGGAAGGCTCCTAGTTCCTAGGAAAGCAGTTTCCTGGAGGTGAAAGTTTAGGCCGGGCCTGAACCAAGTTGATTGTGATGATTTGCAGGAGTGGAAGCTGCCTTCTAATTTAGGAGATAAACATCTGCCCTGATTTAAAGGTGGGAAGGGCCCGGAGGATGGGAGCCTATCCAATGGTTCATTTGGGAAAAGACCGATTTTGAGGATTTAAAGGTAAGTTTGGGGACGTGATTTGACGACGCTGGGAAGGGGAGGAGGCTTTTTTTATGTTATCCTAAAAAGCTGCGATTTGTGGAGACAGGTTTACAAATAGGAAAATCAAAGGAGAATTATTGAGACAGTTATGTAAAAATGAGATTGCCATAGAGAGGCCCTGGAGCTCAGGAGACAGGCTAGAGCATGCCATGAAAAATTTAAGACTTGGGACCGATGATCAAGTGTTTCTGGTGTTCACGATTCCAAATAACAGTTTAAAGGAAAAGCACTCACAGTGTCTGGCAGTCTCAGATGAAAACTCTTCTTCCTATTTCTATAAATAGAATGACTAGATCAGAGGAAAGCAATTAAGACTCTTGATAGCATCTGCCAAACGATCTTCCATCACGGTTTATGGCATTAAAAAAATAGAGCAAGGGTTTCGACCCTGGTTATATTTTACTTTCAAGGAATCACTGGGAAAAAAATTACCATATACCAGAAACACTTAAATTTGATTAAATATTTCCTGTAATGCTTTTAGTGCATTTTAGAAATTCAGATGTGGGGGCAAGATTAAAAGGCAATCATTTATGTATGTTGAGTGGAAAGGACTGTGCTGGGAACAGATTGAATCAGAACTACTGGGCACTAAAATATGGAGGAAAAAATGAAAGCAGTAGTATTAAAAACCATGCAAGTACATTGCTCATATTCAATCTTTATTTGCATATGACGTTTTATGCAGTTGTAAGCTTCACGTACACATTCAGTATTTTTTCAAATATTAGTTGATTAGAATATCGCTATTATCTATGTAAGAATTAATTGCCAAGAGGTTTCCAGCACTTAGCCATCTCCCTTTGGTCAGCTAGTCCCCTCTTTCAACATCTTCAGGTGCTCACATTTTTTCCCATGGTCATACTACTGATGAACAGCCCAGAGCGGAACTGATTCCAAAGACACCATCCGTTTCAGAGCTTGCCTGACATATTCCTAGCCTTGGCACTCAATCGACATGTTATTAATTTTGCAGGTTTGACTTGCTTCTTCCCAAGCAGGTGGCTAAGAGCTGAAGGCAACCCAACAGGTCAATAGATATTACAGGGCCCATTTTTCCGGTACTTGTAGGCTTGACTTTCTCCTGCACAGCCACCCCTCTCCCCCTAAGCCTCCGTAACCTCTCTTCGATGTCTGCTTCACTGTCTCACGCCGGCCACGGCAGGTGAGGCGATTTGGGTTTGGTGTTCTTTCTATCTCGTCTCTCCTGGAACTAACGAACCGTGCTGAGCGCGGGAGCCGGGTTCGCAGCGGTCAGCGGGCGCTTCACCGCCCGGTCCTCCACACATGCTTTCTGGAAGCACTGCCATGCTGGCGACCCTGGGCCCCGCTCTGAAGATAACGGTGTGGGCGCGCGTTTCTGCCCAACAGTTCGACGCTGTAGGCGCACGGAGAGACGACGCGTGCGAAATACCGCGCATCCCACAGCACGCGGGACACCCCGGCTTCCCCTGCCCGAGCCCCCGCCCCGACGGCTCCCACGGGTGCCAAGTCCACCTGCCCGCCCGCGCAGGAGGCGTTTCGTTGTCCACGCACTAGCGCGTGCGGCGCTGGGCCGCCCGTGGGAAGCCGGCGGCCCCGGGCTGGACGGCGGCGCGGGAGCGTGGCCCGCGGCGGAGGAGGCGTGGCCGCCCGCGGCGCCGGGGCCGCTACCTCGGACCCGTGAGGGGGACCGCGGGGGGCCGGGGGTGGCGCTAAGATGGCCGCGCCGGCTCGAGCGGGTGAGTGCGTGAGGGGCGCGCGCGCCGCGGCGGTTGGCTGGACCAGGCTCCTTGAGGGGGCGGACGTGCGACAAGAGTCCCCCCGTGTCCCGGAGCGACCCGGCGGCTGCTTCCCGCCTCGGAGGGCGATGGGGGAGTCCTAAGAGAGGGAGAGGGAGCTGCTGACCGACCGAGCGGGGCGAGGCGAGGGGCGCGCGGCGGCGACGGGTCGGGCGAATTTAGAACTGGCGCTTCTGCGAAGTTTCGGTCGGTCGTGCGACGCTCCGGCCGGTGTCCTGGTGCCACCACGCGAGTGCCAGAGGTACCAGGCCGGCGGGGGGCGACACGGGGCGGGGCTGGGGGGCTGCCGCCCAGGGGCGGGGGGCGCGCGGCGCGCGGCGCGTGGGCTCTGTCGGGGCGGGGGCGCGTGCGGCCCGCGGCGGACGGCGCCCAGGGCAGCTCCCGGCGCCGGGGGTGCCTGGGGAGGGCGAGCCTGGCCTTCCCTTCACCGCCCGGGTCCCCGCGCTGCCGGCCGTACCTGCAGCCCCTCGTGGACTACGGACGTCCTAGAGCCGCTCCCGCTGGCCTGGCGGTGGAGGGAGGAATGCTCACGCGCTCAACGCCGTGGGTGGGGGGTGCATTAGGAACTCATCAGCGAGAGGGAGGGGGGAACCAAGATGCTCAAGTTTAAACGGAGGTAGGACACCCTCCCCTCGTCCCTCCCCCCCCCCAAAAAAAAGCGAAATTGTTGCAATCGCGAGTGTGAGCTGTTGGAAATCCTACTGGCAACAGGGTCGTTTCCTGCCGTTTTAATATTGGAAATAACAATTAACTCCTGGGAGGTTGGCTCCTTCCGCAGCCTTCCTGCCCCGCTTTTAAATCCTACTTATCTCTTATTTTGCAAGTTGACGGGTTGTGAAAGCATGGAAATACGGCCGTGTTGTCTGTAAGGTAAAAGCAGATGTAGTAACATTTTGGGTCTGGAATTCCATTTTGAGTTGTCTGCAGAAGTTGTGTTTAGTGTGAACAAGGTGGTGGTAGGGGGATTGGCTGTTTACTGTGATCAGATTCGGAAAGTCAAAACAAGAGTTAAGTTATAAGTGTTTATACAATATTTCCTAGTCTCAATGAGATTCGATATTCAGTTGCTATGAAAGAGAGGAAACTTTGTATCCTTGGCAAAATAATCTTTTTAGCCTTAATTTGGCCCCTCGGGATTTGAAGGCTTTTTAAACATCTTGCCACATTGGAGTTTCCTCTCCCCACATGGTTATCTCTGGGGTTTTTTTTTGTTTTGTTTTGTAGTTTGGTATGGGAGCCCTTAGTTAAGTTATGTGGTATTTGTCGTTGTGGACTACCCAAATTGAAATTTAGAGACATTCTGATATGGAACAAATAGTTCCATGCATACAGTTTCAGGAGTTGTTTTCCCTGGGTATCAGTTTTGGCTTTGTTAGAAAATACTGACTTTTTTAGCTTTAAAATTTTAAGTAAGTGGACCATCACTTGGTACAATATAGAATGATAACACCTTTTGTAAAATTGAAATTGGACGATCTGTGGAAGATTTAGGTTAAACATTTGAAATGTATTGTTTCTAGGTAATTGTATTTCTTCTCCTTTTTACGGATTTGCGCTACAAAAAATAAGGTATCGTAAACACCCTACCAAGTTTTTCCCCCACAAATGTGGGTCCTCCTACTGTTGTATTTTGGGAGTATGTTAGAGAGTTTTTCACTCATGAGGTTTTTGAGGGCAGAGTATTAGTTTTCTGTATCTCGTAGCTGACTTAACTGCTTTTTGGGGGACCCTGTGAATGTCTTACTGAATTTACAGGTACAGAGAAAAGGCATCATTTTGGCTTAATTGTAGCAGGAAAAAAGTGCTTTGGAATGCCCCCCTTCCACTTGTAACAGAACAAATGTGGGTGCTGGAGTCTAACGGAGTTGTCTGCTCAAGGGAAATTAGAGGGGCGGCAGCATGGGCTCAGGAACCTAATCATAACCAGAAATAAGTAGAAGGCTCAAATCATTCTCCTGATTCAGTCATGAGACGGTTTTGCCTAAGCTCAGCCTAAATGAGTGAGTGGTATGTCATTAAAATATCCTTGTAGGAGGAGTCTATGAATGTGACTTTCTAGCAGAAGGATGTTGTAAAAAGTACAACTGATACTTACAGAACTTTCAGACAGCACAAAAACAGTAAAGAATTTCATCTTCAAATTTATTTGTAAGGCAGAGTGGCTGAGATCAACCTGAGAGAGCTTCCATCTGCTGGTCCACTCCCCAAATACCCACAAACAGCTGGGGCTGAGCTAGGCTGAAGCCAGGAGCCCAGTACACCATCTGGGTCTCCCTTTGGAGTGGCAAGAACCTTGGTTGGGTCATCATCTACTGCGTCCTCCCAGGCGTATTAGCAAAAAGTTGGATCTGAAGCAGAGGCAGGAATCCAGGAACTGAGATAGAGATGTATGTGTCCCAGCTGGAGGCTTAGGTGAATCTCAACACCTGCCCCCAAAGAATACATTTTTAATGGACTGACATGTCATAGGACAAGCAAATTTAGAATCCAATGAATATGCTAGGCCAAATCAGATATACTAGAATGATAGAATGGAAAGTCCAGGCATTTAAAAGATTTATATTTTATTTGAAAGGTGAAAATAGAGAAGGAGAAAGGGAGATCTTCCATCCCCTGGTTCACTCCCCATATGGCCTCAATGGCCTGGGCTGGGGCAGGTCTAAGCCAGGAGCTTCTTCTGGGTCTCCTACATGGATGGCAGAGGACCAAGGACTTACGCCACCTTCTGCTGCCTTCCCAGGCACATAAGCAGGGAACTGGATCACAAGTGGAGCAGCCTGGACACCAGTTGGTGCCCATATGGGATGTTGGCATTGCTGGCAGCAGTTTAATCTTCTGTGTCCATGGTGCCAGCCCCAGTCCAGGCATTTTATAGCAAAGTATTTGGACTCAGTTCCTTAGGTCCAAAGTAGAATGCTCAATGTTGGCCGGCGCCGTGGCTCAATAGGCTAATCCTCCACCTTGCGGCGCCGGCACACCGGGTTCTAGTCCCGGTCGGGGCGCCGGATTCTGTCCCGGTTGCCCCTCTTCCAGGCCAGCTCTCTGCTATGGCCAGGGAGTGCAGTGGAGGATGGCCCAGGTGCTTGGGCCCTGCACCCCATGGGAGACCAGGAAAAGCACCTGGCTCCTGCCATCGGATCAGCGCGGTGCGCCGGCTGCAGCGGTGGCCATTGGAGG